TGTACAAACGCTACCACTAAGGCACGTATTGCCATGTTTTCCCCCATTTTTTACCTCCCTTGCCTCTAGCCTGCCCATTAATGGTGGAAACGGCTGAAGCCTCATCAGAAGTAGGAAACGCATTAGATGCAAGAGAAGCAGTGAAGGTGGGGAGCTGTGGGACAGTACACCTCTAAACGAGCAGGGGAACTATGGCTGTAGTAGCGGAGGCAACAGGCCTACCTAATGTTGCTCTCGATATCCTCGAGGTTTGCCTCAAGGACGTCTTAAGTTAGCGGACTAGGATACTGATACCATCTCAAATTAAGAAGAACATAATCAGTTGACTAGCAGGGGGAGCAGTACAAATACCAACCCTAACAATAGACTAACAAGCTAATGCAACATTAGACTAGTGTGATAGGGTGATACCGGTACCGTAGTTCTCCAACTGATCCTTGCTGCCCTTTTTGTGCAGGAGAATGGTAACATCATCCTTGACGCAGTTAGGGAGCAAGCTATCGTCCGACTTCACGTGATAATAAGCTCTGCTGTAGTATGAAATAAACTGTAAACTGAGGTGTAGTATTGAAATATATGAGTACAAATACAAGTGAAGACATACAATAGCAGCCCACGTGGGCTTCTAGCGGATGCAGTAACAATTTCACTTTCCTGGAACAGATGATGGAACAACGAGACGTCTCGAGCTAGACTCCCTCCCCAGTTCACCCTCACACCAAGTTACTGTTGTACGGCACTCAATGAAGGTTCTCATCGTCGGTGGTACGGGTTACCTCGGCCAGTTCCTCGTCAAAGCGTTTCTGGAGCCAGGAAACGCGGCGGAGGCTGATGGTTACTCCACGCGCGATGACGTGGCGTTGACTTACTGCTCCTCCCCGCCAACTGCGGAGCAGGTGGCCGCGCTCGGCGGGCCGCGCGCGTTCCGCGTGGATCTGGCGAGCGGTGACGGGCTCGCGACGTGCATTGCGGAATTCGGACTGGTTGGTGGGTTGGGATCCCTGGGACTGACGACTGATGATTGATAACCGAGGATCGAGGTTAGGGTGCAAAGAAAGACGACTGAGGCGCCTAGGCTAGGTTGCAAAGGACGGTTGAATAAGCGAAGGATTGGAGGGTTCATCCAGTTACGTGTGATGCCATTTCATGCCATTCCATGACGGCTCGTCTTTCCCTGCCATCGTTCCAACCCAGTCCTAACCATTTCAAACCATTCCATCCCACCCCGTCTCATCCCACCCTGCCCCACCCCGACGTGGTGGTAAATTGAACCGTGAAGCCGTGTCGGTGCCTAAAGCAGGCGAGAGCGACTTTCTCCCCTCGAAAAATCCCATCTTCTTTTCCCTTCTCCGTCCCTCCCCATTCTGCTTGTCCGTCTCTCACCCACCCACCTTTCAGCCCGACGTGGTGGTGAATTGTGCAGCCGTGTCCGTGCCAAGGCAGTGCGAGAGCGACCCTGCCCTTCGATAATTCCCGTCTGCGTCCCCCTTTCGCCATCCCTCTCCATGCTACCTGTTTATCTTGCCCCTCTCCATCAGCCCGACGTGGTGGTGAACTGTGCAGCCGTGTCCGTGCCAAGGCAGTGCGAGGGCAACCCTGCCCTGGCCATGCACATCAACGTACCCTCCGCGCTCATTGCTGCTCTGTCCGACGCTTCTGGGAAGCCAACACCAGGCAGCAGTGCAACGGGGGATGGGAATGGGACTGGCGATGGGAGTAAGGAGGGAGGGGAGGGGTTGGAGAGGGATAGGGAGCAGCAGCGCCTGCCCCTGCTGATTCACCTCTCCACGGACCAAGGTGAATTGCGCGTAGCGGGAGGGGGACGGGAGGGGGACGGGAGCGGGACGGGAGGGGGACGGAAGGGGAGAGGGAGGGAACGGACTGTTGATTCATATCTCTCACATTTGCGGCCTTTACAATCCGCTCCAGCCTAGACCGCCCTAGACCACACAGCTTTAGCACCCGGCCAGCCCATTCACTGCCTTACAATCTGCCTTCACATTTCCTCTTCTGAAAGTGCCGTGTTTCCACACCCTCTCACCCACTCTCCCTCCTTGCGCCATGCCAGCAGGTGGTGTGGGCAGACGGAGTATTGAGGAGGCACCCATGCCATGCCATGCTCCTCCCACGCTCTTCCCTTTCTCCCCCAAAAAAGAGAATCCTTTTTTTTTTTCTTTCCCCCTCCTCTCCCCCAGTCTACGAGGGCACCAAGTCGTTTTACAAGGAGGATGATCCACTGCTGCCAGTGAACACGTACGGGCGGAGCAAGGTGATGGGGGAGCAGGCTGTGCGCGGGCAGTGGTCAGGCAGCCACGCCATTTTGCGCAGCAGCATCATCGTGGGGCCGCCTCCTCCCGTGCCTCTGAAAAAGACCCTGCCGCTGCAGGTAAGGCGAGGGAAATTCTCAAGACGCTTAAAATACGATTGTGGGACCGTCCCCCGTCCCTGCTCCTGGTGTGTCTCTGACCCTGCCGCTGCAGGTGAGGCTAGGGGCAAGTAGGGTTGAAAACGGGGAGGAGCAGAGGAGAGGGGGGAGGAGTGCTGCTACATGTATAAATGTAAATGTATACACTTGCATATAAGTATATTTTTTCGCCCTTGAACTTCCTTCCTCTCTCCAATATTTTTTTTCTCTCCGCCCCTCCCCTTCCCCTCCGCTCCACCGCACTCTCCCACTCCCTCCCCCCACCAATGGATGGATGCAGCACTGCACTCCTCACTGACGTCAAACGACCCTCTTTTCCTCTTCCTCTCCCCCCCGTTTCCTTCCCCTCTCCCTTTCCTCCCCCACCAATCAATGAATGCAGCACTGCACTTCTCCTTGACATACATTGACCCTCTTCTCGTCTTCCTCTTCCTCCCCCTTCCTTCCCTCTCCCTCCCCCCCTCCCATCAGTGGATGGATGGAGCACTGCACTCTGCGTTGGCATCGGGCCAACCAGAGTCCTTCTTTGACGACGAGTACCGCTGCCCGGTCTACATTCACGACTACCCCCGCATTGTTCGGGCACTCATGCATCGACACGCCCAAGGTGCGCACGGCGTGCCTTGCTGAGTTCGAGCGGAGTTCAGGGGACTCCGCAGACCATTTGCCACGACTCGGCCTGCATCTTAAAATGCATTTACAATACTCGTGAGAATTCTCAAAAGTGATTCCCAACATTCCCTGCATCCCAAAATGCATACACAAATACTTGTATTGGGCAGGGCCCTCTCCTCTCCTCTCCTCTCTTCTCGTCCATGAAGGCAGAACAAGTACCAGTGTCACACAGCCTTTCTTCCAATGCCTGTTTGCAGCAAAGGCCGTTGCATCAATGGTCAACGGTCATTGGTCACCCCGTCCATCCAACCCCCCCTGCCCTCCCTGATGCCCCACGCAACCCACCCCATCAGGCGAGCGCGTGGCCCTAACGTTGAACGTGGGAGGGCCAAACCGCCTGTCCAGAGCAGACATGGCAGCAGTGGTGGCCCGGGTCAGAGGGTACCTCGTCCCTACCTCCACCTCCACTGCTGCTCATGTTGCTGCTGATGCTGCATATTCCGCCGCTGCTGCTGCCGGCACTGCTGGTTCTGCTGGTACAGCCGCCAGTGGCAATGATGATAATGCTAGGACATGTGTGAGCAGGGAGCGCGATCTCATCACCAGAGTACCTGCGGCCTCCATGGTACGCCCTCCCTCCCCGCTGTCTCTGCTGCTCCCCCTCATACCTCTGCTGGCGCCGCTGCTGAACCTGCTGCCTCTGTCGCATTCACTAGTTTTTTAACTTCAATTCTCCATCCCTCCGTTTTCCTTCCCATTCCCTCCTCCCTCCAATCTTTCCTTCCCCCTTGCCCCTTCTCCTATTTCTCCCTCCATCCTCCCCCAATTTGCACCCCCTTCCCACTTTCTCGTTCCCCTACCTACCCCCTCTCCACCCTCACTGCCCCAACCCACACCTACACTCACTCACCCACCACGCCCTCAGGTGAACCGTGTAGTGGCAAGTCCAGCTGACATCTCAATGAGCACTTGGCTCATTCAGCAAGAGTTCTCGCTCTCCATTCAACACCCCCCCTGCAACACCCACACACACTCAATCCCCCCCCCCCTGCCACACGCACACCCACACACGCATAACAATACTTTCTCCCCCCCGCTCTCCTCCTACCCACGCGCTACCCACACTCTCAGGTGAACCGGGGAGTGGCGAGTCCGGCTGACATCTCCATGGGCACTCAGCGCATTCAGCAAGAGCTCTCTCTCGCTCTCCCTCACTCGCCTCCTTTTTGCCTAAGCTCACGTTCTCTCCCTCTTTACGCCCCCAGGCGAACCGAGGAGTGGCGAGCCCAGCAGACATCTCAATGGAGACACAGCGCATTCAGCGAGAGCTCTCGCTCTCCCTCACTCCCTTTGAACAAGCTGTGCGGCTCACCTTCGTTGCTGCGCAGTGATTCATTCAGTAGATGACATATATCATGCCGTGTGTGTGTGTACACTTTTGCGGCGCATCGAATACCGTACCAAGCCATGTCTTTGGTACGGCACTTCATTGTTTTTTCCTCTGGAAGAGGTAACTTAACAAACCTTGAAGAATTTAGAGACAAGAAGTTGCTGAAGTTACAAGCTGAGCACATTGCAACCCTTCATCCACATCCCCACAATCAACCACCCTCAATTATAACATTATAACTCTCACCAGGTGTGTAGTATTTGTTAAAAGAGCCATTGTATTCAACCACAAGCACCAATAATAACAAAGCCCATCTAGAGTTAAGAATCCATGAATCCACTTGTTCCACTGGCAGCTTCAGCAGCCAATCCAAGTGCACTCCTCTCAACTCCTCCGCGCTCTTCGCAGTCTCGCTATCCGATCTCTTGTCTCCTCCTGCCCCTTATTCCAACTACCCCTCCTCCCTTCACACTCCCACTCTACTCTCCACAACTCCCCCACACCCCTCACCCCCCCTCCCTCAACCCCCAACAAACCCCTCTCAACCCCCTCATTCCGCTCCTCCCTTGCTCAAACCGGTGGCGGCGGTGGGCGCTTGGGCGGGGGCGGTTTCTTAGGCGGGGAGGGGGGAGCAGGCGCAGTGGTCATTGCCGCAGCCGTGAACGTCGCCCCAGCCCCAACCTGCAAGTACCCCAGCTGAGTAACCGCTTCGTTCGGCCTTATGGGGAACATCTTGGGAACGAGAGTGAAGAACCCGGGTGCGGTGGGGTGGTCTATGAGGCCCCATCGGGAGAGGGGGGCGAGGTTTTTCGCGGATATTTTGAGAGAGAGGATGGTTTTGTTGGTGTAGTTGATGATGGTGACGTTGAACACGTTAAAGGCGGGCGGGACCGTGGCGTCTATTGACTGTAGGAACGTCACAGGCGCTGCAATCAGGAAAAGAGGGGGAGTGGAAAAAGGAAGGGGGAGGGGGAGAATGGGGAACGGGAGGGGAAGGGGGAGAAGGGGCAGGGGGGAGGGAGAGGGAACATGATTGAGAGTGATAGTGGTTGAGAAGTCCGAACAAAACACCTTTAGGCCCCAGCGGGAGAGCGGAGCGAGGTTCTTTGCTGAGATCTTGAGTGTGAGGATAGTTTTGTTGGTGTAGTTGACGGTGGTCACGTTGAACACGTTAAAGGCGGGAGGGACCGTGGCGTTTATGGTCTGCAGGAATGTCACTGGGGCTGCAAGAAGAAGGGGGGAGGAAGAGGGGAGGGAGGGGGGAAGGGAAGGAGGCAGGGAGGGCGGAAGAGAGACGATTGTGGGGAGCCTCAAAGAGGATGGTCAAGTTGAATACGTTGAAGGCGGGAGGGACTGTAGTGTCTATGGTCTGCAGGAATGCCACTGGCGCTGCAATCAGGAGGGGAGAGAGAACACGATTGAAGGAAGGGGTGAAGTGGGGGAAAAGGGGATTGGAAGGGGAATGAAGAAAGGAAAATGACGGGGAGGGGGAACAGGATTGAGAGTGGTGGTGGTTGAGAATGGTGGTTGATGGAGTCGGAACCAAACACCTTAATCACATGGCATTGAGATGGAACTTCGAAGCATGAAAGAGCTGTCGAGATTCGAGGCACCGGGTGTGAAGATCTACTGCATTGCAATGCAAGCAAGAGAAAACAAGGGAAGAGCTTAGCCGGCCTGTCCTATAACAGGAGGAGGGTGGCTTGAGAATGTATTTTGAGTCGGCTAACAACTTACTTTTAACAGGAGGAGGGGGGCTGGGAGGCTTGGGCGGCGGAGGAGGGGGGCGGATGGGAGGCGATGGGGGAGGAGGAGAGGGTTGCACGGCGGGGGGAGGTGATGGGGGTGGGGGAGCTGGCACAAGCACCGGCGGCGACGGCGGCGGTGGCGGTTTCTCCGTGAAAGGCGGAGGCGGCGGCGCATTCGACGTGTACGAAACCACGCGGAAAATCGGCGTCAGCGCCGCGTTTTGGATAAATCCAAACCCCGCCGACCCGCCGGGGTTGAGGTTGGCGGCCCAGTCGGGGAGGACGAGCGAGCGGTCGATGTTCCAGAGGGAGTTGGGCGAGAAGGAGGTGGCGGTGAGAGTGATGCCCCGCACGGCGTAGATGCCCTCGTTGCGCACCTCGCAGTTCCACTGCTTCTGTGGGCCGTTGCTGTCTGTCCATGAGGAGACAATGGAGCAGAGGACGGTTACGTCTGGTGGGGGACGGAAGGGGGGCAAGGGAGGGTAAGGGGGGGGTGGAGGAGGAAGAGGATTTGCCTCGGTCGCTTCTGCAGGCAGTTGCTGTCCATCCATGAGGACACGAGAGAACAGAGGACAGTCATGTTTGGGAAGCGAACGGGAGAGTTTGGAGGGAGCAGTGGGAGGATGCAATGAGCAGAGAAGTTTTGTGTCTCTGGCTTGAGGGCCATTGCTGTTGGTCCAGGAGGACACGAGGGAACAGAGGACAGTCATGTTTGGGAAAGGAAAGGAGAGAGGGCGGAGTGGGGTAGGGAAGGGGCCGTTAGGGTGACAGTTTTGCTGAATGATGGCTTGCCTGAGACAAGGGGGAATGGTGGCGTGGGATGGATCCATCATCAAAGGATGGATGGTAATGGAATCTAAACCTGTTTAAGACATCTATAGGAAAAAGAGGAAGAATGGGAACCAAATATGAGAGAGCGAGAGTGAAACGAGAGAAGGGATCAGTCACCTGAGAACGGCGGGGGCGGAGGCGAGGGGGGAGCAGGCGGGGGGCTGGGCGGAGAAGGAGGGGATGGAGGAGGGCTGGGGGGCGGAGGCGGAGAGGGAGGGGAGGGCGGAGGCGGGGGGCCGGGTGGGAGAGCGCCGACGAGGAGGCGAGCGAGGGCGCCTACGAGGCCGGGGTTGTTGTAGGTGGTCGGCTCTCCGTACTCGTAGCTGTTGCGCACGTCTGAATAGCTGTCCGTCTGATGGTGAGGAGAAGAGTGGGGAGGGGGAAGAGGGGAGAGGGGAAGGGGGAGAGGGGAAGGGGGAGAGGGGAGAGGGGAGAGGGGAGAGGGACGGAAGGAGGAGGAAGAGAGTGATCAGAGAGCCATCGATTGCAGCGCTCCCAGCCACAGCACACAGCAAACTCACCCCGTTGCCCTTGGGACTGGCAGCGATGAAATCTCCAACGTGCACGTTAAGGTCGGGCATGCCGACATAGAGAAAATCACCCTTGAGAATTCTCAAGAGGAAAAGAACACACCATCGGAATGCCTGATGCCTTTTTGAGGCGTCTGAAACTGAGGTGAGTTTTGAGGCGCCTCAGAATGAGGTGAGTTTTGAGGCGCCTCAGAATGAGGTGAGTTTTGAGGCGCCTCAGAATGAGGTGAGTTTTGAGGCGCCTCAGAATGAGGTGAGTTTTGAGGCGCCTCAGAATGAGGTGAGTTTTGAGGCGCCTCAGAATGAGGTGAGTTTTGAGGCGCCTCAGAATGAGGTGAGTTTTGAGGCGCCTCAGAATGAGGTGAGTTTTGAGGCGCCTCAGAATGAGGTGAGTTTTGAGGCGCCTCAGAATGAGGTGAGTTTTGAGGCGCCTCAGAATGAGGTGAGTTTTGAGGCGCCTCAGAATGAAGTGAGTTTTGAGGCGCCTCAAAACTCTCACCTGCATGCATGCATGCATGTGAGGAATCACACCCAACTCACCCCGTCGCCCTTGGGCCCGCCCACAACAGCACCAATGTGCACGTTGGGATTAGGAGCATCCACGTAGAGGTAGGAGAAGGAGGCCCCGCAGGCGATGGGGCGCGGGTCGACGTTGTACGAGACGACAGACGCCCCCCGGTGGTGGATGCGGCGTGGGTAGTTGGCTGTGAAGCCCACCACATAGGAGAGGTTGAGGGGGTTCTTGCCTAGCATGTAGTCCACCTGTGAAAGGGGAGCGGGTTAGGGGGGGTTTGGGCAGGAAGGCCGGGCAGGGAGAGCAGGTGGTGGGCGACACAGGGGTGGACGCGGCAGGGGTAGTTGGCTGTGAAGGCCACCACGTAGGAGAGGTTCAGGGGGCTCTTTCCCAGCATGTAGTCAACCTGAGGGGGGGAGGTGAGAATCACGAGATAGGGCTGGTTGAAAGGCAGGTGAAGTTTGAGTTTGAGTCGACTCAAAAGCAGATCAGGAGATAGGGTTGGTTGGGAGGCAGTGCAGGTGAAGTTTGAGTTTGAGTCGACTGGAAGCCTGGTACATGCGAGGGGTTGAGCGGGTTCTTTCCCAGCAGCATGTAATCCACCTGAGGGGGAGAGAGGTGGGAACAGGGGTGGGGTGGAGAGACAAGTGGGGGGTTGAGAAGTGCATGGGAGGGTTGGGCAGGGGAAGCGGACAGCGAGAGAGGGAAGGGGGATGTGGCGCAAGTAGTTGAGCGGGTTTCTGTCCAGCATGTGGTTAACGGGCTGTCTACAAAAGCCCATTGCCACACACACACACGCACGCTCACCTGCGCCTTGACCTCGGCCACAACTTTTGAGACGCCTCATAAGTGCTCACCTGCGCCTTGACCTCGGCCACAATGTCGCTGGGCTTGAAGACGGTGCTGCCACACGTGAGTGTGGCGCCTGCCCCCGCCAGGTAGTCCGCATACACGGATGAGAGGAAGGCCATGTTGACGATGTACTGGTTGTTCACTCCGCGCCCCGAGATGTACAAATGACCGGCTGTTACAGGGTGGATGGATAGATGGGGAAGGTAGATGGGGAGAGGATAGACGGAGGAGGGTTTTGAGGCGCGTCAAAAGCCAGCCCATGGGTATCCATGTAGTCGGCCACTCCGCCTGTAGTCGGCATACAGGGATGCGAGGAAGGCCATGTTGGCAAGTGCAGAGTTGCCCATCCCAAGTGGAAACCTTTTCGCTTACCCGGCGTGCGCGGGAGCTTCGGGGCAGAGTGGCCGGGCATTTGGTTGCAGACATAGTACTCCGCGCCCTGCTTGTAGCTGCCCAGCAGCGTGCTGCTGCCTGCTGGGTTCGTGCCCGCCAGGAGGAACTGCAACAAAGGGAGGAGGACACAGAAAAGAGGGCGCAAAGAGGGGGGAGTGTGAGGAGGAGGGAAGGGGCATGCTGTTGAACATGTAGTACTGCGCTCCACTCCTTGCTTGTAGCTGCCCGCATGCCAGGAGGAACTGGCACAACGGACGCAGGGCGAAGAGGTGAGATAGGGGAAGAATAGGGGCTGGAATCACAACAAGGCAAAGTGTGCATCGCAGCTTCCAAAAAAGCAACGGTTGATCAACTTTCACCTCAGCTGAATCCTTACGCTGCTACTCAGAAATCAGTCAGCCACATCTCAAGTTGCTGCTTCCCCGCTCATGAATGGGCACATGGATGCCGCGTGTTTTACTCCAGCAGCCGAACCAACCCGAGAACTCAGAAACCCTTGCCCGTACTCGGCAGAAGAGGACCTCTTTCTCTTCTCGGCAGAAGAGGACTTCTCTCTTCCCCCCTCTCAACTTGCTCTCACGCCCACCTTGCTCATGAGTATGTGCACGCCCGCGTGCTTGTTGTCCCAGCTGAACTCCACAGCTGAACCCACCAGCGTACACAGAAACCCATGCCCTACTCCACAACCAACATACTAGCACAAGGGAAGCACTCCGTCGCCCACACACACACCTTGGTCATGAGTATGTGCACGCCTGCGTACTTGTTGTCCCAGCTGCAGCGGCGGAGCGTCCATGAGCACATATCCGAGCCCTCCCTCCATCACCATACACGCACCTTGGTCATGAGTATGTGCACGCCTGCGTACTTGTTGTCCCAGCTGAACTCCGAAAGGCGCTCCGTGCTGGCCTTGAGCGTGCCATCCTTGGTCACCAGGTAGCTCACGTAGCTCGCATTGCCCGTCGCCTTGTACAGCCACGCTGCCGCCCATGCCAGCTCGTCCTGGCGGTAGAGAAAGATGAGGTGGGGGGGAAGGGGGAGAGGATGGGGAGAGAAAGAGGAGGGGAAGGAGTGAGGAGGAGAGAAGGGGCAGACGAGGAGAGGAGGAAGGGAAGGGAAGGGGGAAAGTGAGGGGCTTGAAACACAAGCGTGCCATTGTAGTGATACCCGTCAATGGCACGCTGTGTGCCTTTCAACTCCACTTCCCTCTCTCACCCTCTCCCTCCCTCCCCCCTTCCCCCTCTCCCACCCTCCATCCCTCCTGCTTGATCTCCTCACCCACCTGATACCCGCTCCACGAGCGATAGAAATTCTGCACATTGGTAATCACATTGCTGTACGAGCCCTTGTACTTGCCCTTTATGATGCCTCAAAACCCACCTGGTACCCACTCCACGAGCGATAGAAGTTCTGCACGTTGGTGATCACATCGCTGTATGCGCCCTTGTACGTGTCTGCGAACGAGAACAGCTGCTTCGAGTGCGTGAGCAGCAGGTTAGAGTACGCCGTGTCCTTCCCCGCAAACGCCATGCTCGCTGCAGCCATGGCTGCCGCGGTTTCCCCGGCCAGGTCGGACCCGGGGTGGGTGGCGTCTATCTTATAGGCTGTGCGGTCCGTGGTCATGTCCTCTGGCCGTTGCCAGCAGCTGTGGTCCGAATTGCCGTCGCCCACCTGGACAAGGGAGGACGGGAGGAGAAGAGGGAGAGGGAGGAGGGTGGGGAGAAATGGGTGGAAGGGAGGTGGGGAAGAAATGGGAGGAGAAGGGGGGAAGAGGATATGAGAGGGAGCTAAGGGGAAGACGAAAGAGGAGGAAGAGGGAGCAGGAGGAAATATGGTTGGTGAATAAGGGCTTTTAAGGCGCATCAAAAGCGAGGGCGCAGGAGGCTATCGTGGTGAAGGCGACTGCCATTCTCCGCCACCGAGGGCTCAAGTCACCACTCACGCCCACTCACAGCACACCACTCACGCGCACTGCTCCCCGCCCCGCCTCACTTCCTGCCTCTGGCTTCCTCCTTCCCCACTCCTTCCCCAGCTCACCCTCCCCTGCTCCCACTCCCCCGCCCCTCTTCCCCCCTCTCCGCCGCGCTCCCCTCACCTGGCCCCACAGCTCATTCGGCGCAGTGTGCGCCTTGAGCAGGAAATCGGAGCCCCACTTTATCGCGTCCAGAGTGTACCCGAGCTGCCCCTGAATGTCCAGCTGGCGGCCGTACTCCACAACCACCCACGACAGCACCGTCACGGTATACGCCATGGGGAACCCGAACTTCACGTTGTCGCCCGCGTCGTAGTACCCGCCCACCAGATCCACCTGGAGGAGGGGGAAGGCGGAGGGATGTGGCGCGGGGAGGAGGGGAAGCGCGGAGGGGGGAGGAGCGCGGACGGCGGAGGCGCGGGACGGGAGGGGAGATGGGTGGGAAAGGGGTTGTTGGGCGGTCGGCGGGGAGACGGAGCGCCGTTTGACGCGGCCTTGAGCGCGCGCCGCAAGGTGGGAGCGCTGACGCGAGTCTGCGCATGTGCGAGTGGGTAGGGAGAATGCAGCCAAAGGCGCACTCACGCATTCCTTTTCCCAATACCCCCGCAACAACCTGTTTCAACCAGGCTTCCCCTCTCGCACTTCCTCCCACGCTCGCTTCCCCTTCCCCTCCCCGCACTCTCCCTCCCCCCCCTTCCGCGCGCTACTCTCCGCCGCAGCGTGCCACTCTCCCCCCCAGCTTACGTTGTTCTTCGCGCCGTCCTGCAAGCCCGAGTCGTTGCGCCACGTCACCCTGGTGGTGGCGGGATCCAACGGCCCGGAACGCTGCCCCTCGAAGAACAAAATCGCCTTGGCCAGCGCGTCCGCATAATCCGGATCGCCGGGCGCCGCGGACGCGACGGAGGCATGAAGAGTTAAACTAAATGCCGACGCGAGGAGGAGGACAAGTGCCGAGGCCAGTGAAGCGAGATTGGTGGAAAAGTGGGGCTTCTTGCGAAGGCGACGAGGTAGCGGAGGCCCCATGGCGGTGACTGTATCGAGAGCGGTGTTATAGAGAGGGGGCGCTGGTCGATGAGTGCATGTCAGGTTCGACGATGGACGGTGGTAAGGTGAGCGAGTAAACGGCGTGAGAATGAGTCTCACGCGGCGAAGCGAGGGAGTATGGATACGGTGGTGAGATGGAGTTGATAAATGGTTGGTGGAATGGGGTGCTAGTTGAGAGAAGCCAGTGGCAGGGTAGAAGTAACTTGGGCGATACGGACGCTGAAGTAACGGCGACGCTTTTCCATATACGGAACGGAAGAAACGACGGCGATGTGGGAGGGCTCCGCGTCCGCGCCCGTCCGACAAGAAGAAGTGGGGGAAACGAATCGAAGGAAAAGAGGCCAGGAGGACAAAACAAAGTTTGTTGACGTGTCGCGCGCTCCCGCTGGTTCGGTTTGGTCTGGTTAGGCTCGAAATCTTCAAGGGCGAGCACTGGGCACTGGGGCTGGTTGAAAAATGAAATGGCCTGGTTCGGATCGGGATGCGGAGGAACCAGGGAGGTGAAAATCGACGTGGGAGATCGTCGGGTGGCTTGGGAAAGGCTGACATCGAAGTTGGTTTTGAAGGGGAGGCTTGCTTTGAGGCCTGGGGAGGGAGGGGAGAGAAGGTTGGGGGGATTGACGCAGACAAGGGGGGAAATGTGCCCCCCTCCCCCCCTTCACGGGGATCTGGCTGGCCGAATCTCTGGCTGCGCGCGGAAATAAGCGGAACTTCAGCTTCGTTCACTTCACAGCCTTGGCATGGTCCGTGTTCCTTACGTGAATAAGAATTCGCCACAGAACTGGTGATAACTGGGGAAGGTGGCGGCGGCGACGGCGTAAACTTGTGTCGAGCGATGTCGTTCGGGCGGGAAGGGGAAACAAGGCATCTGACCGACAATTTCAAACTTCACAGCAGCCTGGCACAACTGCAACACACCCACAACAAAATCCCTCCCGCTTGAGGTTGATGGAGGAAGTGCTGCCCTGAAGGCTTTCAAGGTTGGCGGCGATGCTTGAAAAACGACATGGTGGACAACAAACGTGCTAAAGGGGAGTGGAGGTTGTTGTAAATTTTTACGAGTTGTTACGGGTGCAATGAATCGAGGTAGCGAGAATTGCACTAAGGTGTCAAACGAGTACAAAATGTGAGCGAAGGCATGAGCGAATATTTATACGCGAAACATGCAAAACGGTAACGCGGTGCGTGCGAGCTTGCTAGTGCTACGCTGGAGCGAGGCTCGGGCTAGTCCCGAAGCGTAGGCCGATACGGCCATGCCAGCAGTGCGAGGTTAGGTAAAACAGTGCGCGCGAAGTCGGCGAAGTTCCGTTAGCAGTAACGGGCGAACAATCGGCTGTTGCTGTACGCGATGTAGTCGGCTCCGTAAGGAATGCCGAGAAAATTCCTTACACTACCCCCCCCCCCTCAAGAAGCCCCCTCCGCTACGCGAGTGCGTGTATATCGCGGAATCCCCGGCTCCTCAGGTACACTTGCAGGGCAGGGTGATTTTCGATGTTGCTCAGGGGCACCCAGCTATCTTCAGTTGGCGTGCGGTCTTTCCAGCGAACGAGGAATTCAATCCTCCTGATTCCCGTGGGGTGGCGGATCCGATGGCTCAGAATTTTTTCGGGCTCGATGATCGGCTCTGATGCAGGGCGAGTCATTGATTGTGGCCGGTGACGCGGCAGTTGACTTGTGGTCGGGATGTATGGGCGAAGTAGGCTGACGTGGAACGAAGGGCTGATGTACCAGTCGGTTGGCAACAGTAGGTGTGCGGTGACGGGTGTGATCATGTGACTGATTTGGAATGGTCCACAGTAGCGTGGTCGTAATTTTGGTACGTCGGGCAGTCGCAGATTTTGCGTGTCGAGTAGCACGTAATCTCCAGACTGATACGTGACGGGGCGGCGGTGGCGATCAGCGTTGCGCTTAGCGATGACGTTGGCCTTTTTTATTGCTTCGGCGGCTCTGGCGCGGGCAGCTTGCAGGATTTCGGCGAATTGTTGTGCGCGTGGCGTTGGGTTGTCCGGACTCGGCGTCATGGGCACTGTGTGGTTCTGCCCATAGTTCAGGTAGAACGGGGACTGCTGCGTCGTGGCTGATGTGGCGTTGTTGTACGCGAACTCGATCAGCGGCAGCTGCTGCTCCCAGGTCGTGGGGTCGTCGCACGTGGCACGAATCAACTGCTCCATCGTCTGATTCGTCCGCTCCGTTTGGCCGTCGGTCTCGGGGTGGTACGACGAACTGAACTGTAGCCTGGTCCCGAACTGCTCCCAGAGGTTCTTCCAGAAGTTGCTGGTAAATTTCGTGTCCCTGTCGCTGATAATTGCTGCTGGTATCCCGTGCAGGCGAACAACGGCTGCGATGAACAGGCGAGCGGTCTCCTCGGCTGAGATCGACTTTTTGCACGCAGCGAAGTGTGCCATCTTCGTCAGCCTATCCACGACGACCATCACCGCGTCGTTACCCCCAGGGGTCGAAGGTAACCCTGTGACGAAGTCCATGGTTACTTGCTGCCAGGCGCGTTCGGGCGGTGGGATCGGCTGCAATTGACCCGCCTTCCGCTTCCTTGAACTCTTCATCACCTGACACGTCGGGCACGAGCCCACGTGCTGCTGTACGTCGGTCAATAGCTCCGGCCAGTAATAGTACCGCTGTAGTTGCTGTCGCGTTTTTTCTACCCCGAAATGTCCCGAGGTAATCCCGTCGTGTGCCTCCTGTAGTAGCAGCTCCCTCAGTAGTGAGTACGCGGGTACCCAAATGCGGTTGGTGCCTGCTTTTACGTAATAGACTCCTTTTGCTTCTGCCAGTTGCTGTGAATTTCCGGTCGTGAAAAATGGGTCGGTGCGGTATCCGTGGGTGAATAGGCCAGTTAAAAGCGGGTTGGTCTGGGCGAGTAGGATGGCATGGAGTTGGGCGGTTGGGCGGGTGAGAGCATCGGCGATGTTGGATGCACCCTTTTTGTACGTAACGGTGTAGTGAAAATTGGACTCGAGATAGTCCAACCAGCGAATCTGTCGTGGGTTGAGATTCGGTTGGGCGCGAAGATACTGTAGCGAGCGGTGGTCTGTCCGTACTGTCACGTCGGCGCCAGTCAGGTAACATCGCCAAACTTTGAACGCGTGCACGATCGCTAGCATCTCGCGGTCGTGTATCAGGTAGTTACGTTCGGGCGGGTGTAACTTGCGGGACTCGTACGCGATTGGCTGGAGGCCGTTCCCGAAATCCTGCAACAGTACTGCTCCCACAGCGATGTCACTTGCGTCGGTGACGAGCTCGAACGGACGGTGGGGATCTGCAATGTGAAGGACGGGCGGGGAGCACAAAATATTTTTGAGGGCCGAGAAGGCAACTTGCTCTTTCTCCCCCCACGTGTACTCAACCCCCTTCCTCAGCAGGTCAGTCAACGGGGCAGTCAGCTTCGCCATGTCGGGGACGAACCGGCGCACGTAGTTGACGAACCCCAGGAAACTCTGCAACTCGGTCAAGTTGGTCGGCGCGTGCCAAGCCTGAATCGTCGCAATTTTCTTCGGGTCTATTTCCACTCCTGCAGCTGAAATAACATGTCCCAAAAACTCCAGGCGGTCCTGTAAAAACTCACACTTAGATGCTTTGGTCAGTAGGCGGTTCTCACTCAGGATTTTAAAAACTGCTTCGATGTCTTGTAAGTGCTGTGCTCTGTCAGGGCTGTAAATCAGTATGTCGTCCAGATAAACGATGACGCACTTATCTAAAAGCGGGCGGAATGCTTCGTTCATGGTCATTTGGAAAGTGGCGGGGGCGTTGGTCAGTCCGAATGGCATGACGGTGTATTCGAAGGATCCGTAGCGTGTTCGGAATGCGGTTTTAGGGCAGTCGGGTGGGTTGACGCGGATTTGGTGGTAGCCTCCTCGGAGGTCGATTTTCGAGAAAACCCGGGCTGTACGCAGCTGGTCGATCAGTTCGTCGGCTCGTGGGATGGGGTAACGGGATTTGATGGTAACCCTGTTTAGTGCCCTGTAGTCGATACACATGCGAAACCCCCCATCCTTTTTCGGTGTGAACAGTATGGGTGCGGCGAAGGGCGACGAACTCGGGCGAATGAATTCCTTTTCGAGCAGGTAATCGAGCTGCTTCCTCAGTTCGTCTAGTTCGGGTTGGGTCAGTCGGAACTGTCGCTGTACTGTTGGCTGTGCCCCCGGTTCCAGTTCTATCCTGTGATCGTGCGGTCGCTGAGGTGGCAGTCCCGTCGGTAAGTCATCCGGGAAAATGTCACTGTACTGTTTTAACAGTGCCGCCAGGTCACTCGGTACGTCGGTCAGTAGTTTCTGTAAATTGCCCCCCTTGTCTGCTGCCTCGGCTTCCCGAATGTCAACCGCGTACACGTCAGCTCCGGCCGCAACAGCGCGTTTCATCGTGATCGCGTTGACACGCACCGACGAAGACTCAGGCGAGCCCCAGCGAGGTAAGGCGATGTTGTTACCGTTTACTCGCACGGTGCAGTCACCCGTCGTCCAGTCAATTCGCGGATTGTGTCGTCGCAGCCAATCACGCCCGAGTAAAATGTCGGTTCCGTCGAGGGTCGTTGCGAGCATTTCCTGACTAAACGTGAAGTTACCCCCGCATTGAATCCGAACTCGGTCTACGCGTTCCCGTATTGCCAGCGGCGTGCCGTCTACCAGACGTGCGTCGATCTCAGGTAAGCATCGGTCCAGTGGCAGTCGCAGTTTGCGTGCTGTAGCAGTGTTAATGAGGCAGTGGCTGGCTCCCCCGTCTACGAAGATTTTAACTAAGTCCGTCCCAATTTTCCCACTGAGCAGTATAGGGCTATCTACCGTGGTACCCTCCTTATTCGGCCGGGTGTGGTCGATTGCGTGAACCGGCACAATCACTCGGTGAGGGTCGGTTGGGTCGGGCGAGCGGCGTGACCTGTCAGTAGAGGGCCCGTCTGCTACTGACTTCCAGCGTTTCCCTGCTGCTTGGTCTGTGTCTGCTGCTCAGCTTCCCCCTTTCCCTTAGCG